CACACAACATTGACACTCATCTCTTATTGCCCAGAATTTAGTCACATGGTCACATCAAACTGCAAGGGAGATTGAGATACAGTCTCTCTTGCTAGGCAGCTGTGGGCCTGGTTAAAACGTGGAGAAGTCCTATTACCAAAAGGAAGAAGGGGTAGAATGGATGTCAGACAGCAATTTCCAGCCTGAGCCTCATGAGTCTCACGCATTGTTGCCAGGGTCTGCTTTCAGCTTTCCTTCCCTTCATGTTAGTGCTTCTGCCTAACTGTTTTCACCTGTTGGTTCTGAGCTGTCCTTCATCTGGGACTGGTTTCTAATCTGGGAGAAGAGACAGGATAGTCTCCTTTAATGGGCACACCAGCTACCTCATGGCGACTTGCTTTCTGATCTTCATATTGATTTTCTGATGTGGTTAGCTGGGTTCCAAATACTTCTACCTGCCCTATAGGGTTCAAACGTGGGCTCTCTGACTCCTCCCCTCGCTCATCCCCTACTCTGAGATGCACAGATTCCATCCTGACTCCTCCACGCTGGTCCCTCACACACCTTATCGGATCTCCTAGTGTTAGGGAGATGTCATTTTCAGTCAACTTGAATTAAGAAAATGATTAGGCCGGGCGCGGTGGCTCACGCCTGTAATCCCAGCACTTTGGGAGGCCGAGGCGGGCGGATCACAAGGTCAGGAGATCGAGACCACGGTGAAACCCCGTCTCTACTAAAAACAGAAAAAATTAGCCAGGTGCGGTGGCGGGCGCCTGTAGTCCCAGCTACTCGGGAGGCTGAGGCAGAAGAATTGTTTGAACCCGGGAGGCGGAGGTTGCAGTGAGCCGAGATCGCACCACTGCACTCTGGCCTGGGCCACAGAGCGAGACTCCTTCTCAAAAAAAAAAAAAAAAAGGAAGAAAAAAGAAAAAGTATGCATGTTGTTGCATATAAATATTTCATATGAGGTATTAAGATGCATCTTCTAATCATATTATCAATTGACTACATATAGGTTGTTTACTTCCTTTAATTCTTTTTATTTATTTATTTTGGCTACTCACATTAAATCCTCTTAGATGGGAGGCAGAGCTGTGCCTTTTACAATGAAAGCTGATGGAACCTCTTATAGGCAGAATACATGGATCTGAAACCAAGAGTAGGAATACATGACACTGATCACAATTATATCCAAATGACTTACAAGCAAAAGGTTCCTTTTTGTACCTGTGACTTTGGGCCCTGGTCTCTAAGGAACTGTGTTTTTACTCGATGATATAATGGTTGTTCCACTGAATCAGAATATGTACCAACACCCAGCTATTTCAAGCTCTTCACTAAAGGATAAACAAGCAAAAAAGGAAGTTGTATAATTTTGGCTGATGTAATTGATCCCGACAAAGATAAATGGAGCTGCTGGTTTGCAGTGGCAAAGGAGGGATGTGACTGGGACCAGAGGGACCATGGAAGGAGCAGTAGAGATAGCAGGTCGTAAATCCCAGCAAAAGCCTCCTGAGTGATTACAAAGACAAAGTCTACGTCCTCAATCTGTGTTTCTCAATATGCTACGTTTTGTGTGTATTTATATTTTTAATTATCAAATATATTTAATTTCCTTTTCGTCTCCCTTTCCTCCCTCAGTAGTCTATATTTGGTACTTGTTGGTGGTTAACTTTACAATTTTGATTATAAGTTGCAGTATTTCCAGATAGAATTGTTAGCTGAAGTGCAGAAGAAGTGGACCTCAGCTGGCAGCCAAGGTTTCAGAGCTGGATGCGCTTGGTGAGTGATGAGACTGTGGGTTGGTTTCCCTTGAAGACAATGTGGGTGTGCTTTCATTTGGCTGAGTGCTACATTTTGTTTGGTGGAAGCATTTATTTTTACTTTAGAAGGGAAAATGGGGGACGGGTGTGGTGGCTCATGCCTGTAATCCCAGCACTTTGGGAGACCAAGGCGGGCGGATCGCCTGAGTTCGGGAGTTCAAGACCAGCCTGACCAACATGGAGAAGCCCTGTCTCTACTAAAAATACAAAATTAGCCAGGTGTGGTGACGCATTCCTGTAATCCCAGCTACTTGGGAGGCTGAGGCAGGAGAATTGCTTGAACCCAGAGGTGGAGGTTGTGGTGAGCTGAGATCGCACCATTGTACTCCAGCCTGGGCAACAAGAGTGAAACTCCGTCCCAAAAAAAAAAAAAAAAAAAAAGGGGGGGGGAATGTGATGAAGAATGTATTATGATATTTGGAAGTCAAAGGGATGGACTTTATTCATATTGATTACGTTTAATAGAAATTTGTAATTTTTTTGATACCTGGCATCAAAATCCTTCCTATCTTGGAGGATTCCAAAGATAGATGGAGGAAAAACTTCCCTTCTACTACCAAAGTCAAAGGGAATAGATATTCTCTCTACTTAGTCAATATGGTACCCAGGGCACATGAGGAGGCCCGGCCAACTGGATTACTTCTCCCAGGAATGCTGAGTAGTGAGAGAGTGACACAAGATGCAGAGACAGTTGCAAGTCACTGGGATGGTGGCGAGTGTCCAGGGAGGCCAGCATTGGCCTGAGTGTACTGAAGTGTGGTCTTGGGAATATTGCCAGATGCATAATTGTCCTTAGTTACATTTTCTCCAGCCATTTCTTTTTGTATGCTGTCAGATATCTTTTGAATAAATTCCTTTCCTGCTTAAGCTACTGCTGGTTTTCAGTGATTGCATCCAAGAACTCAGACTGGTAAAATCCTAATGTTTAACTGGTTTATTGTTAGTTACTTAGCTTCTTTGCATTTTTAATATAAGGTGTGCTTCAATGATTTAGGCACAAAGCTTTTCCCTCCATCTATAAGATTATTTTCTTAACATACAGTTTCCACAGTGGAATTACTGAGTTTTATAATAGATCATGATACACACTGTCAAACTGTTAATACTTTACAATGTAAAGAGATACTGTTTCACTGAATCTAGCATTGGTCACATTTTGAACAACTGATACAGCAAGTAATAGAAGTTAGAATGATTTATCTGGCATTACTGAGGAATGAGATTTTTCACATATATAGATTTTTTTAGATAACTAAAGCTTATTATTTTATTATATATATATTTATTATTTATTTTAAATATACAGAGTCTCACTCTGTTGCCCAGGCTGGAGTGCAGTGGCACAGTCTCGGCTCTCTGCAAGGACTCTGCCTCCCAGGATCAAGCGATTCTCATGCCTCAGCCTCCCAAGTAGCTAGGATTATAGGCACCC